TTTAACTTTTTATTCATCAAAGAATCCTGAAAAAAGTATCACAGGTTCCAAAAAATATTAAGCAGCACAATAGTTTCCAGCACTGATAATAAATCAGCATATTAGAATGATTTCTGAAGGATCATGTGACACTGAAGACTGGAGTAATGATGCTGAAAATTCAGCTTTGCATCAGAGGAATAATTTAGATTTGAATGTATATTAAAATAGAAAAACGTTATATTACATCATAATAATATTTCACAATATTACACTTTTTCCTATATTTTTGATCAAATAAATGCAGCCTCGATGAGCATAAGAAACTCCTGCAAAAAACATAAAAAATCGTTCTGATCCCAAACTTTTGACCGGTAGTGTGTGTGTATATATATATATATATATATATATATATTAGACAAGTACAGAAATATAAAGAAGATAACTACAAAGATGGCATGCAAATAGTATACTTCTGGAGATGTGGGTTAATATGTTCATAATATTGCCCCCTGTATTACTAATATTGACAATCAGCAATAAATGGAAAATAGTTGGTAATATCAGAATTCTCTAACTATTAAATGATTAATTAAATAAATAAATACAATTTAAATACATATATACATACATAAAAATTAAGCACATTAACTTTTGTCCTTACCTTGGCAGTTTCATTGGTCCAGTCAAACTCTGAATCATAATATCCCAAAAAGAGCACATCTCCCTTGATCTCAGAATCTTTAATTACAGACATGGAATATATATATTTTTAAAAAGCCTTGAATAGTGCAAATACACATTATAGACTATACATTATCCTGCAAAACTAAAACTCCAAAATGCAATTTTTTCCCTATTAAAATATCATGGCTATACCAGGCTGTACACCAATATATTACAACTCAATTAGACATGGGAAAACATAGTTTAGACATCATTTTTACTAATGACACATGACATTAATGATTTAACACACCTTCTAAGTGGTATTGCCTGATGTGCTGGCCATAGCAGAACTCATAAGTCCACCAGTCTTTGGTCTAAAAACAGAACAAAATAAACATGTTGTATGTCAAATTGCAATGATTTTATAATCCACACAATCATGGCAACTCCAAAGGTAATTTTGCCAGTGCAAGTGGTTGTGTATATTCAGTATTTGTGTATATTCCAGTGTGTGTAAGTCCAGTTCCAGTCCAGTGTCTTGGTGTAACTTTTGATAACCAGCTGACCTTCAAAGACCACATTGCAAAGACCGCTCGATCTTGCAGGTTTGCATTGCACAACATCAGAAAGATCAGGCCCTTTCTAACGGAGCATGCTGCACAACTTCTTGTCCAGGCCCTTGTCATCTCTAGGCTGGACTACTGCAATGCTCTTCTGGCTGGACTCCCATCAAGCACAATCAAACCTCTACAAATGATTCAGAATGCAGCGGCACGACTGGTCTTCAACGAGCCCAAAAGAGCCCATGTTACACCTCTCTTCATCTCCTTGCACTGGCTACCGGTTGCGGCCCGAATCAAGTTCAAGACATTGATGCTTCCATATAGAACAGCCACAGGCTCAGCACCCGCCTACTTCCACTCACTACTACGAATTTACATCCCCTTCAGAAGTCTGAGATCCGCTAGTGAGCGACGCCTCGTGGTACCATCACAGAGAGGCTCAAAATCACTTTCCAGAACATTCTCGTTCACCACTCCTGGCTGGTGGAACGATCTTCCCACCCCTATCCGGAATGCTGAATCCCTGACAATTTTCAAGCGACAGCTTGAAACGAAGCTACTTGACTTCATCATAAAAAAATAAATAAAAAAAATCTCTCTCTTTATTTATTCCTTCTCTTTCTAGCTTGTACTTATTTGAACAATGTCTAAGAACTTGGTATTACAACCACTTCTTGTGTCTGTTTGCCTCTTTAAGAAGAATCGCTTTATGTATCCCCCAATTGTAAGTCGCTTTGGATAAAAGCGTCTGCTAAATGACTAAATGTAAATGTAAATGTGTAAGTCACTGTGACATAGAACTAGAGGTGATGACAACCTTAACCAGGCATGGTGCGGTTTGCATGGGCTTGAGGAGATCAGGGACTCCTGGGCCACTGTAGCCTTGAACCTCAGCTTCTGACACCGGGTCCTGATGGAAACGCACTGCCTGAGCTGGCAAACGACACTCATACAGCTGCTTGTATTTGTTAGAGACCAACATCACATCTTCCATCTAAAACAGGAACAGAAAGAAGGTGACAGAAACAGAGAAAATGAATTAGAAAAAGAGAACCAGGGAAAGGTGGCCATACAGTTTACACCACTATGCTGATTTTTTACCGAACTTCATATCGTTATAACTGTGTCAAATCTATAGCATATAGTACCTGTGGAGGCACAGTCTAACATTTTGTTTGACACATAAGTTAGCTACTTCCCCACTCGTTACTTCACAAGCTATTCTGCAGTGGACAAATAGACACTTAGTATGAAACGATGTCACCTAGGCAAGCTGTTTTAATGTCTGATAAGTCAAGCTGTACATCAAGCTAACAGCTGTCTGTAGCAAATAAACATGCCTAGCTAACTGCATCCCTGGCCAAAACAACCTTACCTGTCCCATAATAACAGGATCCGGCAGAATCTGTATCCCATATTTCATTTCATTTAATTCTTCTAAATTCAAATAAGCAAGGACGGACAGGAGACATGTTAAGAAAAAAACATATAATCCTCTTAATCCCTTAATCAAGGAGGAAGCCATAGTTCTCTCATATCGCAAACTAGCGTTGTCAAATGATTTACTATTTGGTGCATGTCAATGTGTGCCAAAGAACGTGGATTGGACAACGTTGTTCAACGCCGACACGTGATTGGATATCATCAACGTCAGTCAAGTTTAGAACGTGTATTGATTGGTTCACGTGCGGTAATAGCCACCCATCATCCACGAAAATGACTTCTATTGGACCCGCCGAGTATTTGCAAAGTAATGTAATGCCTCGGACTCATGGGGTCGCTGTGGATCATTTGAAAACGCCTACGTTGTGTTCGCAACATTTTTAGGTTAAAGGAATCAAAAGAATCTATGAGACAAATAAACTGCCAATATATAAAGAAAAGCAGGGTCGCACTTTATTTTAAGGTCCAATTCTCGCTATTAACAAACCATTAATTCAAATAAACCTCAATAAACTCCTAATTTGCTACATTGTCATTGTGATAAGTTATATTGAGAAAATAATGAATGTAAGTCTCAGCTAAAGTAAACAAACCAGATAGCAAGATGACATTCATGCAATGTTGAGATTTCACCAAAAGCATCATTTTGGTTGTGATTTCAATTCTTCAGTGTTTTCAAAAATTCTGTTTGCAAAGTACACTCTCAGGAAAAAAAAGGTTGGATCAACATGAAGGCTGGAGATGCCAAATCATGCCCTTTGCTTGCGAGAGAATGTTTTTCCTCAGTGGTATCGGCCAACGGGCTGCCGATAGCAGCTGAATCAACTCGGGGAACCACATCTGATTCCTCCAGGGTGGGGCCACCAAGAGGACTGAGCATCTGAGGAATGATGACCTGAGGAAGGGCATCTCGCTGTTTCAAAAAATAAATTGGGCAGTGAAAGTTATCTTTTGTGACAAAGAGGTCCACCTCTGCCCTGCCGAAGTCAGACCAGATCATTTGAACTGTTTGGGGATGTAATCTCCATTCTCCTGGAGCCACACTGTCCCTGGACAGCATGTCTGCCCCTTGGTTCAGTCTGTCTGGCATATGAACTGCTCTCAGTGAGAGGAGTTTGCCTTGTGCCCATAAAAAGAGGCATTGAGCCAACCTGTAAAGGGAGCGTGACCTGAGACCGCCTTGGTGATTGATAAAGGCTACCACCGTCATGTTGTCCAAACAAACCAGGACATGGTGCCCCCTTAAGGCTGGCAGGAAGGTTTCAGGGCTAGAAAAACTGCCATCATCTTGAGGCAGTGATGCATAAGTGTTGCTCCAGGTTTGACCAGGAGCCTAACGCCGGTCTGCCCTCGTACAGAGCTTCCCAACCCGAGTTGGAGGCATCCTTTGTGACCACCTTCCTTCTGGAGGTCAGTCCCAATGGGATGCCAGATTGAAACAGGCGAGGAGAAGTTTTCCAAGGGGCCACAGCTCTGATGCAGCGGTGGGTTACCCTGAGCTGAAAACATCCTAGGCACCAAGCCTGAGACGGGACATGCACTTTGAGCTATACATGGGCAAGCATTATACAAATAAACGTGAATTGAATTGAATTGAATCGAATCTAGCTGATGTTTCCTCATTAGATGGAAAACAGCTGCATCCTATGCAGATATCTTGTTGGCTGAGTCATTTGACATACACGAATTCTCTGGCACAATTTTAAACATGGTGCATCTACTTTTATTTTCTCTGTTCCTTTGTTTTTCTGGCTCGTTTTTTTATTTGTATTGTTACTGACTTTAATTAAATATGTTCATTTTAGTTATAGAGTGTTTGAATAAATCATACATTTTACTATGAGGAATGCAAGAAGTATTTTCATGCAGACAGAAGTTTCAAAATCATTACCTGAATAGCTAGAACACTTCGATTTCATCTGAAACAAACATGTGCCTATTTCGGATGAAAACATAGGCCTAGCTCTTCTCATTGAAGATGTCACATGTCACACGACAAGATTTAGGCTATTAATATTTTATTAATCTTATTATTTTTACATTTCTCTTGCCTCTCTAAAAGATGATGTCTGTCCATAAAAGGGTGTAATGTCTATTATCAATGTTCATAATCATATAAATTATGTTGCTTTTTACTACGGGGCTGCTGAATGTTTGAATCTGATTGGTTGACGAACGTTCTAAGGTGGACACTCTTCCTCTTGTGGTGATGAGCGGCAGGCGTGAGCGCGTGTCGTGAAGCTGCATCTCTCTCCTCCTCTCTCCTCTCATATGAGCGCCTTTCAGCGCGCCGCAGCCCTACATCGCTATTCACAGAAGGGGTACCGGCTCCTCTCCGCTCTCCTCCATTCTGTCTCAGAGGTGGATGCCATGCCATCGGATTTTCTCCATTAATCAGCTGTTTGCGTTTACCTGACAAGCGCGTCCGGGGGTATTTTAAGGGTTGGAGATCCCTCTTGGTGGCGACAATACAGGTTAGATTTATTTGAACGTGTTCGGTCGCCCATCCGCCCTGTTGTGAATGGCACTGATATAATGTTTTCCCCAGTCATTTACGGCATGTTTGTTTATTTCCGCTACACGATTGAGTGAATATAATTAAATATGCACCGCTAAATTAATTGATCGCCACTCTCTCTCTGGTATTTGAATAGAATAGAAGGGATTTGGTTTCTTAGATCGCCTACATTTCTAATGGTGTTATGGCTCTGCATTGTCTGATGGAATTTCTGTGCATGATGTGACATATGGCGACAACAGGCCAAGGGGCTTTCGGTACCTCTCTGTATTGCTACACTGAGGCGGCAGAATGGTCGTTAAACAGTGGCAATGATCGCCAGTTATCAAGTCCCTTAATGGCTATTGATTATTTTCCATGGCTTTGAACGGCTTCTGTCTCGAAGGCCAGCGGTGCATGCTGTCAGCTGTGCGGCCTGTGTGAGGTAGGCTATATAGTTTACAGGATGCTGGGAATATTAGCCTTCTGTATAAACTATACCACATCAGTATTAGGAGGGAAGTCGCATCCATTGGGCTTATACACTCTACGGGGCTGCGCATGGTTTTTATCTCCATAACCTTGGATAAAGTGCTAGGTGCAATTAAGCGAATGGTTATTCGTTGCGTTTAGTTGTCGTGGCAATTTCGCTTTTCCCAATAAAGGTACGAGACAAAAGTCTGTTAAATATTTATTTTCTCGCAAGAAAAGTTCAACAGTCATCCAAGTTGACTGCAGAGTGCGACCAAGAGGAAAAACCCAAACTCAACATTTATACCTTGATCAAATGTGGATGCTTTGATCTCATCCAATCATAATGCATATTAAACATATATCTCCATTTAAAGCTGCAGTCCGTAACTTTTTTTGGTTAAAAATAATCCGAAATCAATATTTGAGCAAGTACATAACCAGCCAGTGTTCAAAACGATCGCCTTACTTTAGCCTGATTCACAACGGTTATCTTATAATAATGTTTTCTAATTTGAGTGGTACGGGTAGGTTTTCGCGGGAAATTCGAGCATGGCACTGCGTCATTACGTCACGTCTGTAAACATAAAGAAGTTGTCCCGGCTACTAGACTATCGCATGTGAGGATGCTGCAGGTGATGGATCGTTTATAGCCTATTCTCACAGCAGCTGGAATAATTAAATGTATCATTTTAATGGCAGATTGTAATCCAGCAAGAATTTTGTGTTTATAAAACACATGTGAATGAAATTAAATTATATTTCAGTTATAAATGTGCTTCTGATTACAGATAGCAGTTACAGCCTGGGATTACAAAGATTTGTGTGCCGACTCACAATCCACGCAAGCTAGATAATTCCGCACACAGCTGCAATTCCAGGTTTTCAAACACAGATGGCGACAAAGAGGCAAAACTTACGGACTGCAGCTTTAAGGTGTCCAACTATGTCCTCCAGATGTGTTGCAAAGAAGCCAGGACGTCTAAGAAGCTAAAATAACATTTCCTGTCTCACACTTGTCTTGCACACACACACACACACACACACACATGTCTGTTTTTGTGAAGTGTGGGTACATTCCAAATGCGTAATGGTTTTTATACTGTACAAACTGTATGTGCTATTGCCCTACACCAACCCTACACCTAACCTTACCCCTTACAGGAAACTTTGTCTCACACACACACACACACACACACACACACTCATATTTCCAAACTACACCTGCTTCCTCTCTACTGGTTGGTGTGCTTAGAGCAGGGGTGCCCAACGTCCGTCCTGGAGAGCCACAGTCCTGCAGAGGTCAGCTCCAACCTTAATCAAACACACCTGAACAAGCTAATCAAGATATAGGGTCTATTAAAAAGCTAAAGGCAGGCTTTTGGGGGGGGGGTAGAATCGTTTTTTTTTTTTTTTTTCTGGACTCCTTTTTAATGGTTAAATTACATTTGATTAATCAAAAAGCATGTCTAATTAATTAAAATCATGAAACTTAAACAATTTAACATCAATTTATTAAAAGTTTAACAAATATTACGTTTAGGGCCCTATGAAATGTTTTATTTGTCCAACCTTATGTTTTATTGTAACCAAATTCTGTTTTAGCATGTCTAATTTGAAAGCATAAAACAAGTTTAATTTATTCTTACAATAGCCTTATGATTTTTTTGCTCAGAAATTCTGTGTTGTGTATTTACATTTTGTTTTAAGGCATAAAACATTCATTTAATCTATCTTTTAATTAATTAAAATTAAACAAATTAATTTTTTTGGAAAATAAAGTGTAACATTTAATATTACAATTAAAACATTGAAGAAATATTGAATGCTTATTCCTTAAAAATAAGGTTTTAATAATTTTAGTAGTAGTAGTAGCAGTCTGTTACGTATATTCTACTCAACAATAGTAATATATTTCTGCCAATGCCCTCAAGTTAAACCGAACCTTTATTTTTACGGGTTGCCGTGAATACCATTACATTTCTATGTGTGTATGATATGAGGATAGTTTTACTCAAATGAAACGGTCAAATGCTCATGAAGCGACTCTCAGAGCAGTTAGGAGATGTTGGAGATGTTATTCATGTGTTTATGTCCTCCTTAGTAAGACGGCAGATGTTAATATCACCGCAAGCGTCACGAGCGTTTCAGTACGAGTACTACACAAAACCGCGCGTCTGAGCCATTCATTAACACAGAGACACGCAGAATTCATATTTAAATATGAATCGGAGTGGGCTTACTTGTGTGTGTGTGAGAGAGCGCGCGCATCAGGCGGAACTCCGCTGTGCGATGCAGAGAGCGCGACCATAACGTAGAGACAGAAATATGGGGGTAGAATTGTTGCTTAATTCCAAATAAATAGATTATGATCCACAAATAAATAGAATGAGATCCACAAATACATTCTTAAAGTTTCACAAACATGAATTAAATTCACAAATAAATAAAATGAGATTTGCAAATAAAAAACATATTCACAAATATATATTTATGTCACAACCACAACTTTGCCTGGTATTTATTTGTGAATCGCGTCCTGTGCATTTGTAGATAGCTGCACGCATTTGTGAATCGCGTCCTGTGCATTTGCGAATTGTGAAACATTTCTTGCGTCAAGACCTGCTAATATAGTGAATGAGTATACTCTTAAGCAACTTTCACATAGAGATTCCAGAAAATACACTGATATGTGTTCTGGGATCGTTGGATTCTGGTTCATTCTCCCTCCAGTGATTTTCTGCAATCTGTGCGTGTGCTCACACACATCCCGTAAAGATCTCGTAAAGACACGTGACATTGGGATGTGACATGTAATGTGATGTGTACTGTTCCACTAAGCTGGCGAACGATCTCATAGCAGGAGCTCCCTGGTCTTTGCTTCATTCCAGTTTGCAGACATTTTTTGTCATGAACGTTGATCTGCATTTAAAAGAGTCGCACGATAACGTGTGTCATCACTACGACACACCCCTTATGGCATTGGTCCAGCCTTTTGTTCCCACTGTGCGTGTTCCAGGACTGATTGGTTCCCAGGATGTGTTTGCATTCACACAGAAGGCACTCTGGACATTTTACGGGATCAGAAATACAGATTCCAAAAGTGAATTTTCATAGCGATACCATAGAAGCATCATTTAGAGAATAGTTCTTAAAAAAAACTTTTCCTTCGTGTGAAGGACATTTTAATAGTATAAAAAAACTTTTTCCACTATAAAGAGACTTCTGTGCAGTGGAAATATTTCATTGATATTCAAAGTTAATCCTGGAACCACAAATCCCATAAAGAACCTTTTTTTTAAGAGTGTACATTGGACTCTTTTATGTAATTGAATATATGTACATTGGATTCTTTTATGTAGTAAATACAGTAAATGAATGCACTACAACTGACGTGACTAAGGTTTTTTTTTCTACCTCAGCAGACGGAGAGAGCCCTCCATCAGCCTCATCAGCTACTGTAAGTCACATCAAGATTGAGCCAATCAGTACCATGGACCTTTAGGAGCAGTAATGGCAACTTGCTGTACCTCTCGCTCTGATTGGATAGAGTGAGTATGTTAAAAACTAAAGTGTTTTTGGAATTACTATAGTGCTTTCCCCCACATTGTTATTAAGTGAAGGGATATTAAATTAAGGCTAATTAGAAAATTGAATTGAAGTTAATGCTTCATTATTTGATTTAAGAGAATGCTAATTTGTGAAGTTTCACATGAAGAACCCCACCCATTTTTGTACAATTAATTTAATTACACTGAATGAAGTTTCAACACTGTTGTGTTTCTGTTTGTGTTATAGCTTGTAGCATGCGTTCCCTACGTAAGACTGTGCTGTTAGCTCTGGTAGCATCAGTGGTGCTGGTTTTGGCAGTGCTACATTCCTGGCCCACGCGGGTCTACAGCACTGTGGATGTCCGGTACAGACCGGGTCCTGGAGCTGAGCGGTTGCTGGAGGAGAGACTTCCTGAACCAGATCCCAGCACTAGCACCATCCCTTACAGAGTGAGGGAGAGTGTGGCCAGGTCAGTTAGTCTTCAAAAGCCCCTTAGCATTCCTAAGGTCTCTTTTTGAATGGGATTTGTACCTCAGGAGGAACATTGGAATGCTAAGGGGTTTTAATGTTTTTCTATGAAACATCTGCTCAAGTAGAGGGAGACTGGGGATTTTGCTTTAACGCCTGCAACTCTTAACAACTACTTATCTCAACCGTTCAAAAGTTTGGGGTTGGTAAGATTTTATAATGTTTTTAAAAAAAAGTTTCTTCTACTCATCAAGGCTGTCTTTTCAAGGCTGTACATTTTTTTTAAATGTACTTAAATGTACTTATTGTTATAGCAAAGTAGATTTTTCAGCAGCCACTACTTCAGTCTTTAGTGTCACTTGATCCTTCAGAAATATTAACATTCTTATAATATCTTAATGTTTTTGTGGAAACTGAATACATTCTTTGTCAGGATTCTCTGATAAATAGAAAGTTCAAAAGAACAACATTTATTTGAAACAGAAATCTTTTATAATATTGTAAATGTCTTTACTGTGATTTTTGATTGATTTAAATTGTCCTTGCTGTATACAATAATTAATTAACCTTAATGACCACAAACCTTTGAACTGTAGTGTATGTGCTCCAAATTAAAATTGTTCTGAAACCTACAACGTATCTCTAAACATCACTTTAAATTCTGTACATGAATTTATTTTGTTAACTCAGAAGTGAAATGTTGATGTCCTGTAAATCTTTTATGTATTTGCATAAAACAGGGACCTACATTGTCTACTGTCAGCTTAGGAGGATGCAAAAGTTTTCCTTCTGTTCAAAGTCTGACAGGTTAATCATGTGATAACTCTCCTCCTCTTCCGCAAGGCTTTTGGCTCGCAACGGCTGTGTTTGTGAAGGAGACAGCAGAGGGGTCAACCTGCCCTTTGCTCAGCTTTTGTTCCCTAGAGTGTCTGCCCATCCGCTGCACACTGCCTTCCAGGCCTCCCAGCTCCATGAGATGAAGAAACGGCGCGCCAAAGAGTATCAGAGCTTTCAAATGAGGTGCATTTAATAATTTTATGCCAGTGCAAATGTTCAGTTGTTTGGTTTATAAATCCATCTGTTATATAAAAAAAAACTGTGTATATGACAGACTATGTCTGATCTTGCAAATAGTTATTTTTTATGGTTTTAGATTTAGTTAACGATTGTAACCCTGGTGTGTATAGGTCGCAGACCCCTGCTGATCTTCTGATTGTAGCTGAAGCTAACAACCCTCTGCAGTACCCAACCCAGGGTGTGGAGGTTCGGCCACTTAAAACTATCCTCATACCAGGTAATACACTTTCTGTTCCTAGTAAGATTAATGTATTGCCATATGACTGAAGAACTGTGATGAGACTTAGCATTATAATAATAAATCTTTAAGCTAATGTAATGAATATTATTGATAATACCTGACTTTTTTGCAGCCCATGCTCATTGGAAATATGTCACTGTGGCTACATTTCTGCAAAACCTAAAATACATTGCTTCAGGTCCATTTTGCTGCACTTTTTTAGATGATCCACAAGAGGCACTATAAGATATATTTAGATATATATAGTTTTCTCAATTTCAGATGCAGGTTTATTCAACAGCACAGATTTTGATGCAAACGTTAAAATGTATTTGTTTATAGTCAAGTCACCTTTATTTATATAGCTCTTTATACAATACAGATTGTGTCAAAGCAGCTTCAAGGCAACATTGTGCAGTCAAGGCAACATTGTTGCCAGAAATTGTGTCCCCAACTAAACAAGCCAAAGGTGACAGTGGCAAGGAACTAAAACTCCATCGGTGACAGAAATGGAGAAAAAACCTTGGGAGAAACCAGGCTCAGTCGGGGGCCAGTTCTCCTCTGGCCAGACAAAACCTGTTTATAAATCATGCACTACGTTAAAAATGTTCACATAATAGTAATGCAGTATTGTGCAAGAAACTGCACAAAAATAAGTCTTTATTCATTGATAATCTGCCCCCGTAATCATTATTTGAATGAAAAGGAACAAAAGTTATTGGTGTTTTTACTGCCACCAGTGTTCATGTGTCCTGGAAACTGCAGTGAAATGTGTGTACATTTCTGAAGAAATGTGTTCTTGAAGTGTGTTAACCAAAGTATACACGGAATAATTGACTCCGGGACATTGAATTATTAGAAAAATAATGCATTCCTATAATAATAATGTTATTCCTAACTTAAGTCTTTCTCTGTTCTCAAATGAGTGACGAGCTACATTCGACCTTCAGTGACTGAACGCAAGCGAAACGACTTTGTACTTGTGATAGAGAACACTGGTGGTTTCCATGGATTACAATTTATTTTTGTTTCCTGTTTTGGGGTGGTAATATTATATATTAATAGGGAAGGGGGGCCCCAAAATTTATTTTGCCTATGTCATGATAAGAGATAAATCCGGCCCTGAATACATGGCTGTAATGTGTTTCAGGTTTGGCCTTAAAAGAGCTGCCCCGAGATGTATATACTGTAAGTGATATTATGAATAATTTATGTCTATTTCCTGTGCTTTTGTGTTATGGGTGCTTCCTGGACAATATGTTTTTCATCTTTCTTTGTAGCTGAACTTTTCAGCATCTCTGGGCACATTTAATGTGGCAGCAGAGGTGGAGGGGGTAAAGGTCAGGGGTGATGGTGAGATGCACATGACCCTGAGCAGCAGCCTTTTGTCCAGTCTGAATCGACAGCTCCAGTTTATCACATATACTAACACGTTGTTCCACCCCAGCACAGCTGACACAGGTAAGCTTCTGGGTAATTCCTGTAAAAAAAATAGTTATCCCAAATGTACATGTAAACTCAGGACTGGATAATCTTTATTTTGATATGTCGTTTTTATGTGCTTGTGATTCAGTGCAGTTAGACACAGAAGGACATCAAGCTCTGTTTACCATCAAGATCCGTCATGGAGTTACACCCAAACTCTACAACACAGGCTCTGATGCAGATAAAGGTAAGTACGTCAATGTTGTCATTGTTAATTACAACTAAACCTATCAAAAATAGTTATTTGTTAATTGAAATTAAGATTAAATGAAATAAAATATAAATATTAGATGAAAACCTTAAAAAATTAAATGAAAATGATAAATGTTACCCTGGCAGCTAACTAAAATAAATTAGTTTAATTTTAAGTACTGACATTTTTAAAACTAAAACTGAAATAAAAATAAGTTAAAGCTAAATAGAAAAAAAAGAATACAAATATAAAATACAAAAATGAATAAAAATACATAAATCAAAAGCCCCAACAAAAATAAAAGTGAATTCATAACATTAATAAATCCTATAGCACAGTGGTTCCCAAACTTTTTGCAGAGTGCACCCCTTTATAGTGTTTGACACAGTGGTATAGTGGAAGGTATACGCAGGTATACGGCGTATACCCACTTCTTTATCAGTTGGCTTTGTGTATACCCACTTCTAAATCCCCTCTGATGCGCATCATTCATTAGTGTCCTGATGATTGCACCTGCGCATATTTAGCTAGCTTGATAGAGAAGGATCACTCAAATCAGAAAGAATGTGAAGGTTATGTTGACGGCAATGGACATAGCGGGAAGTTATAGGGTAGTTATTAAGGAATTAGTTTGTTCCCTCTAGATACCTATGTTCATGATTTAAACAGGTACAGCACGTATTCACACGCAATCGCTCTCTCAATAATGCATTCAAACAAATGTAGGCCTAATCTTATACAGTGCTACTTCATCTGCATCTGATTTCGAATGAGCAGAAATCTGTAAGAAATGCAGCGATCCGTAGGTAAAATAACTGATGAAAACGTACTGTTATTTTCATCACAAACAAAATTTGCACTGCAAAAAGCATCAATAGTCTACCTTTTAATGCTGACAACCATGTTATTAGCTTGTCATGTGGTTGGAAAAAAGGTTGCACACTGTTCCAATAATCCACTTTGAAACGCTCCTGTCATTTCATTTTTTTCTTTTAATATACGTTATGAACAGAACTGTGATATTTCAAGCATTCAATACATTAGCCGCGGAGCGAAGGTGGAGCGGTGTTTCTGATATTAGTGAGCGAGGAGTGGAGCGGGAGCGGATAATGGTGAACCCGGAGCGGAGTGATTATTAAATGCTCGCAACGCGGAGGGGAAATTGTTGCTGCTCACATACTCTGGTCCCCAGTCAGAGAGGATGCCGATTGCCGACAGTGACAGATATGCTGCTTCTTCATGCACGAGAGCATGTCAGGCATAGGCGTAGCTTGACGTTTGAGTTTGGGGGGGCCAAACCGAACCGGTGGATTCCCAGCAACCAATTTTGCGTTTAAAAGATGTCTATTAGACGTCTAAATATAGCCTAGACGTCTAAGCTAAAACGAGGCTAAATTTGAGCTGTCAGTGAAAATCTAATAGACGTCTAATCATAGCCCAAGAATAGACTAGTCATCAATTAGATGGCTATTAAACGACTACATATATACGTCTAATAGACGGTGAATATGGGTCTAGGCTAAAATGAGGCTAAATTTGGGCTGTCAGTGAAAATCTAATAGACGTCTAACCATAGCCCAAGAATAGACTAGTCATCAATTAGACGGCTATTATACGACTACATATATACGTCTAATAAACAACAAAATGGCAATCCATACATACAGCTTTTATTAAGAAAAATAACATTTTTGACATCTTAAGACAATACAAAATGATAAAAATACAAAAGAATTAATGACAAAATAAAATGTTATAAATACAATACACTTAAATATAAATATTTTGATAAAAAAATCTGCAGTTTTTAACAACTTAAGATAATAAAAATATAAAAATGAAAAAATTAAATATTTTAAATAACTTAAGATATTTAAAAGAAAAAAAATCTAATACAAATCAAGAGCATGTCATCACACTTAACATCAAAACATTACGGATAAATGACAACATAAAAAAAGATGCCCCCCACAATCTGTCTCTGCCTCCAAAATTGTCTGGCACAACTGACTTCATAACAACACAGTGATAGCTGCTGGAACTAAAACGTAGCCCAGTACACACACTAACCTCAAATGTACATGGAATAATAAATTCACCCCTACCGTTTTATTACATTATGTTTTTTGTTTGTACTGTTTAGGTTTTAATGCTGCATTGCACATCTGAGCTATTTGCACTTATTATTTGTATTCTTAAGCTTT